ACTAAATGAAAAGTACCATTCTGATAAAGATTGAAGTTAAGATAATGTATATCTGACGCTAGATGATTTAACGTTAAGGGTTGCTTACTATAAGGGATATGTCATCAGAGTTAGTCATTCTCCAGTTGAGTTAAACCTTTAAGTTAATTTTATTTAGGGGTAGACTCTGATTTCCAGCTGACAAAAATTAGAGTTGACTGAATTTATGACTGAAAGTCCCGTTCCCTGGTATTTTTACAGCCAGCCATTTATAACGCTAAACCTACTCAGTTGCCAGGTTAAAAGGTAAACCTAGGTTAGCCTGCTTAAGTTTTAGCTAAGTGTACCTAATAAAGTGGCAATTGGATGGCTCTATACTATAGGCCTACTTCCATTTAGACGGGGTATATTAAACAACATCAAGACACAATTACTGCTGAGACAAGATTTTTATAGCAAATTGTAGAACAAAAGAAATGCAGTGGATGTGACAAGAAGGCAGCAGTCTGATAAATTTTAGATCATATTTACTCCATAGGCTACCATGACTAATATTAGTCAAAGTACATGTAGTTAGAATCCTTGCTGCAAAGCTTTGTTAGTAAAGGTAGGTGAATGTTCCACCCATAACGTGGTTAAAATCTGTTTATATGTATATAGATTATACTCATCACTTCTGTGTATTGCGTGCTCTTTTGAGAATCTTAATCCCCTGTATTACAGATAGTCTGTTAAGTGTTCTCTAGAGTAGAATAAAACCCTTGTGGGATGCCAAAATACATGTGGTATAGATTGTAAATTTGATTGGAAATAGTGTAGTAGATTGGAATGGTTTATTATTGACAGTGCATGTCAATGATTTGCAGCCCTAATTCGTAAACCTTGTATCTCACTACTGGCTTCATCCACCAACCAAGGTTAAGGTCTCACGCTGGAATCTGATCACACAGCAAAATTGTATCATTAACAGGTCACTGTTTTGTTGTTGTCGTTGTTTAACAACATAGTGTCAATTCTTTGGATCTCACTCTGAGTCCTGAGATAAACCTTATCCAACAATTGATTATCTCTTTAAATCTCTTGTTAATGTGTAGCTGCAAAGACAATTTCTTCCCACACTTAACTTGCAAGTTGTTAGTGTTGTGGTCTTTTTATGTACTGTCAGCTGTATTTAGTTTTAGTACTTTTACAGCTAGCTGGGTCAGCTAGTCTCACCTTAACACTGACTGATTTGCGCTGTTTGAGTAGGGTGCAGAATTCTATTAAGTATTCTCCGTATTAACATAAGTATGCACTGTCTGATCTGGAAAAACAATTGACACAAGTGGTTCATACTTACATGCTTAGTGGTTCATACATTACATTAAACCTGTAGCATTAGTATTAAAATGATGACATACTGTATAATATCAGTGATATGGAATTGCACAGCCTTATGTAAGACAGTGAACTGATTTCAAAGAAAATCTGTTTGTATCAGTAAATCAGCTTTTTCCAAAATAAGCATGCTTGTGTATGATGAAATTAAATTATGTTTTTGTTTTTTCTTAGCTAACTAATGTGAATGTCCTCTAATCATTACACCCCTTTTTTTTTTTTTTTTTTTTTTTGAAATGTGCATCACAACTTACACGTCTGAGTGTGGACTTCATACATTATTCAAGGAATTTTTGATTTTACCTCACGAAGCTGTCAAAGCATGCTGAGGAGGCTAACTATTGTATTTTATAGTCCAATACAATACAGAGTAGCTAAGCAGTACATACATATTGTCCCTGTAATACTTACAGCACAACTTCACCCTTCAGGATGACACGTAGATCTACAACTAAAG